GGCGGCCAAGCCAGGCGTGCAGCCCGGAGCCCGGAACCAGCAGCAGGGCCACTCCAGAGTGCGGCAAGGCCCACTCCTTATTTCATTTTTAAATCCTCACTCAAGGATGTGTTTCTTATTGACTTTAGAGAAAGGGGAGGGGGGGAAAGGGGGGTATCGATCGGTTACCTCCCTTACAGGCCCCGATCAGGAAATTAAACCAGCAACCTGGGCGTGAGCCCTGACGGAATCCAAGCTGCCACCTTTTGGTGCATGGAGCATGTTCCAACCAGCTGAGCACAGGCCAGGGCAGCGGGGCCTACACCTTACTCAAGTGAATAAAACCTTTAAAGACTGTCTGATAAAGCCCAGTACAAAGGTGTGTCAGGATAAAGTATTTTTGTTTTAAAATTCCTAACTATATAATAAAAGCCTAAGCGACCATTACAGCAGAATGACCAGAACAACCGGTTGCTATGATGCACACTGACCACCAGGGGGCAGACGTTCAACACAGGAGCTGTTCCCTGGTGATCAGTGTGCTCCCACAGGGGGAGCGCCACTCAGCCAGAAGCTGGGCTCACAGCTGGCAAGCACGGCGGGGGTGGCAGTGGCAGGAGCCTCTTCCACCTCCGCAGCAGTGCTAAGGAGCAGCGAGCAGGCAGGCAGTAAGGAGCAAGGGTTCCCGGACTGCGAGAGGGATGTCCAACTGCTGGCTTAGGCCTAATCCTCGTGGGGAGCCTAAGCCGGAGGGCGGACATCCCCTGAGGGGTCCCAGACTGCAAGAGGATGCAGGCCGGGCTGAGAGATGCCTCCCCCTCCGTGCACAAATTTCATGCACCGGGCCTCTAGTTATATATAAAGCATTCACATAATTTTAACTATATTAGTATCTGAAATAAAAAATATTTTACCTTGCTCTGCCTTTTGGAAGTAGCCTAAGGCCTGTAAAAACACAAAGAATGCAAACAGAATGAAAAGGATTAAAATAGATTCAATATTTAAAAATCTTCTCAAACTCTATTCCTATTTTACATACAAGCGAGGAAGTAGATGAAAACCCCTTAAAATAACGGCTCAATCACCAACAGTAAGCGTAACATAGCACTCAAGGCCCTGAGCACAGAGCACATGGGCCCTCGAGCCCCAAGGTCCCGGCGCAGCCTCACACAGAGAAAGGAGGCCGCGGATAGCTCGCTCTCCTCTCTCTTCTTCAGTCCCAGCAGGGAACACCCTGAAAACTAGACAAAGTGGAAAGCTGCGTTTCCTCAGTGACACACTGGTTTTACCAGGGAGTTTTTAAAGTTCTTTATTATTGAAATTCCTACATAAAATGCTACTGTGAGTCTAAAAGGGTTAATTCTTTATGACTCACTTAAACGGTTTTTATAATACACTACCTACCAACTGATTTCTTAAAAACCAATTTGTTAGAGCAGAGCTATCTTTTCTCTTAGAATGCAGTTTTAATAGCATAGGTATTTCCCAGCTGTGTAATTGCTGTGTAATTTACACCTCAATGCACCTTAGATCGGATTCAACTAAAGCTTTCCAGAAAGAAACAGGCCCTCACTATGAAACTAGTATTCAGAAAGCCATTTCAATGGCCTGTTTCCTCACTCTGCACATTTTTTGACAAGCTAGACCCAAACGTTTGCCCATAAATCCCCCTCAACATTCTTTCAACAGCATTTAAAACATGGATGGAGCCGAGGGAGTGTTGCACAGCGGGTTAAGCGTCCTTCTATGAGCCGGGAGGTCATGGGTGGGTCTCTGAACAGGGCACATGCCCGGGTTGTGGGCTCGATCCTCAGTTGGGGGCAGGCAGGAGGCAGCTGATCAAGCACTGATGTTTCTCTCTCTCTCTCCCTATCCCTTCCTCTCTGAAATCTATAAAAAAATTTTTAAAAAAGTTATTGATGCCAAGTCGCGCTTTCTTTGGCATGGCAGGGAAATGACGTACAGAGAATATGTCCAAACAGCTTGCTAGGAGCAGGCGCTGTGGCACAAGTTTCAAACAGAAAACGGAGGCAGCTGTTTGCCGCGGGCGTCACAAGCCTCCACTAGAGAAATCGACCCAGAGTCACGGGCACAGTGAAGGCCGAGTGGCCGCCTGGACAGGTCCCGAGGGAGCCCTGCGAGTGCCGCCCCGGGAGGTCAGCACTCACCTCCTCGTAGGTGGAGCTGGGAGGGGCTGCAAACAGCATGTTGGCAATTCTTCTCTGATACCAAGGCATTTCCGCAAACGTGTAGCACCTGGGGGAGTAAAGAAACGTTCATGCATTGAACTGACTGACTTTCTCTTCAAGACAATCAAGCTTCTTATCAGACATACAGGACGCTGGTGCTGCCTGTTTAAGCAGCGTGTACTGGACATAACATCAGAGGCTCACTTCCACCCCGAGTTGTGCAGGGACTGACACTGCTCCATCTAGGGGGGGGCTTGTGATCACATGTAAACAGTGGTGACTACTGGTAACAGCGCTGAGAGGCCGTGGAGCCGCCGCGGGTGAGAGGCCGCGTGCAGGAAAGAAGGGCGCATACTCAGGGCTGGGCACCACCTGCGGCGTCAGGCAGCCGCTGGGGCCCTGGGCGTGCGCCCGCGGATGAGAGGGGACCACTGCACCTGTTGCTAAAGGATCTGAATAACGACGTCTGACAAGATCACAATCACATTTGTATTCCCTAACGACAGGCACAGCTGCTGGTTGATTTCATGGTTAAGCAGCACTCCTGAGTGCCAAGCAGCATTTTAAAATGGCTGACATCTTGCTTTTTTAAACACTACAAAATAAGATCACACTACGTACCACTGAAATATTTATTCAAAGAAATTTTCTTACCAAATGCCCATTAGGTGAATCGAAGTCGCATCTTTAGGGTTCAATTCAATTGCTTTCTAACAAGAAATGAGAAAATCAAGCATTTGTTTTATAAACAAGAAGAATTTTACTTGTTTACGGAGGAAGCACAAGGTAGAATATGTCAGGAAAGTGTCCCTCATTTCTATTTACCACGTGACAGCCCTGTGTGAATTAATGCAAAGTATAAATGACAATAACTTCAACGAAATTACTCCTTTGATACATTATTTGGTTGAAAACTGCTAAGGAAATTTCAGAGGTTAATGTAGTGCCATTAAAAATAAGAGACCCTTTTTAAAAACAGGGACTCCGTAGCGCAGCCGTGGGCAAACTACTGCCCGCGGCCCGGATCCGGCCCCGTTTGAAATGAATAAAACTAAAAAAAAAAAAAAGACCGTACCCTTTTATGTAATGATGTTACTTTGAATTTATATTAAGTTCAAAAAACACTCCATCCATGCTTTT